TACGTGGCTGGTGAATCATACTAGTTTCTGAATCACTCTTACAAAATATCAGCCTGAAATACTAACAAATAATGAACACATTGTGCTTGGACTTGTACGTTATTTAAAGAATAGCATTTTAAAGCAGAATGTTTAGTAAAATGTTGGTTTAAAAACCACTTTGCAATTTACTTCCATTAAACCCGTTGTACCAGTAAAATACCTCCTTCATAAGGGAAAAGGTGTCAGTATTGTGGAAGGATATTTGATTTTTATCCAGCTATTTGCTATTTAAGCTCCTTTCTTTTCAGTGCAAGGAGATCAGCTGACAACAGCAGCAACAAAATCATGTTTGCAGCTGGGCAATTACAGTAGACCCTAAGATCTGCGACTGTCAACCATGAACGCAGATGCCTTCAAAGTTCTGTTTTTCTTCCATGTGGAAGTCGTTGGCATGGAACAGATGCCTTCATTTTGGAGAAACCAACCTCTGGATATAATTGGTTCTCTCTTCTCTTGTCCTCTAGGGACAGTCTCTCGCAGATGAAATTAGATGAGAGAGAAAAAAAAGAGACACAGACAAACACGCTCACACATGACACAAAGCAGGAGTTTTCAGGATCCCTCTCTGTTTTGTCACGTGGAACTGTTTTACAGCTGGAAGATTTCACTCCATTTTTAGCACTCTGCACACATGATGATGATACTATATCAAAAACATGCAAATTAAAATATATATCTGGCCGAAGTTTATTAGGCATGCTTGTTTAGAAATAAGACAAGCATATCCAGCATGTATTACTTTAGTGTTAAATGTTGACTTCTGCACTATCTATCGATGCTGCAGTCTTGGAAATGTAAAGTTAAATGGCAGAAGAGACAAGATGGTTTAAAAAAACTTCTGTTGCAGTGGTAGAATCGAAGTATTTTCAACAAATGGTTTGCTAGTTTTTAACACAGGAGGGGAAAAAGCAAGTTGTTGACTTCAAATTTCACCTAACATACAAGCATTCAATTAAGGAAGCACATTTACAGGAACTTGAGCAGAGTTAGTCTGATGAAAACCTGTGATGAGCCAGTACTGGGAGACCTGTGGTAGGGTACTGAAAAGACTGTGGCCTCTTACTGCAGATACCTAAAATGAGATGATGGTAATGGGACTTAAAGGCTCTAAGAGAGAGGGAGAATCTGCCTACCCTGTGCCCATCGAAGGCTTTTGTTACCAACGCTCCCCTCTGGTGTATCAGCTACCTAATCATTGTGGTTTATGTTATTTAGTACTATTAAAATAAATGAATACCAACTTTGGGTTACCTTAATAAGCTCAGTTGTGAACTGTGACCGTCAGGCAGTGCTGTGTAAAGAGATATGGTATTCCTGGGTGGATACCTCCAGGAAGAGGCTGCAGCAGGGATCAGGGACTGCCAGGAGGTAAACTACCACTGCTGGTACCCAAGAGCCTGGAGGTCTGTCATCTCTGAATGCTTTTTCTTTCTTAATGTCCTAGCATAAAGTTTTTCTTTTATTGTATTTGTTATTTTGTATTGTATTTATAAACAAATATTTATTTGTATTTACAATACAATTTTTGTATTGTATTATTACACCAATTCAATAACCTGGTGTAAAATTTACCTAGGCAAATGTAACCCTTACGTGAATTGGCTGATGAACTGTAGGAGTGTGGTTGCGTGAAGATGCTGAGCCTTTGTAACAGCGTAGGTAGGTCCTGCTGGTAGCATATTGATGACCTGAATTCTGAACTTGATTTTCAGATCTTAATGGCATTTTCCATATTTTACGTAAGGAGTTTACAACTACTGTAGTATTCTCATCTCTTAAAAGTTGAGCAGAAACGTCACCAGCGATGAAAACTGGCAGGAGTTATCTTGGTCCTGCCTTGGTCTGGGAAGTCGGTGGAAGGCAGTCTGCCTTTTAGACACTTGATATAACTGGGTAGCTGTGGTGTGCTGTGGTCCGTGGTCTCCCGCTGGCACCCAGGAGCTGTGTGGGTGCAGGGCATTCACCAGGACTTCCAGCGGCTAGGAGGAAGCCCGGAGTAAAGTTGGTTTTGAACCGAGGACTCTTCAGCTTTTAGAAAGGAGTAGGGTGATTCTTTGGTGTAGGACTCCAGTTCTGATGCGCAGAACTTCAGTGCAACAGTGTGCTGCTCTCAGCATTGTATTTCTGAAGAACCACATATTAAGGGAAAAACTTAACTGGAGAAGTGCTTAGGTGATGAAGGGATTTCTGGCAGTAACTAGGAAGTGCAATAATGGATGATTCCTTTTGAGGCTGATCCTAATATTTGTAGTCTTTACATCCTATTAATTCCTGGAAAGATAAGCTGAGACAAGAATGATTTGCCAGGGCCAATGGCTCTTCTGAAAATCTTGGCTCAGGTTATATCCCCCTTCTCTCCACATACAAGATAAAAGCACTGTGAATATGAGGTTAACTGAATTCAAATAGAAGACTCTCTCGAGTTATTGCATTCCTTAGAAAATAAATACATTTCTCATATGGTTGAGATTGATCAAAAAAGTATTCTGTATGCCAGTGATTACATTCCCATCTGTGATTAAGGTTTTCTGTCTGCATCTGGTTTTCACATTATATTTCTGTAACAAGAATCCTTTATATGGCAGAGTTCACTCTCTGTATTTTCTATTAGCTGCAGCTTGAACTACTGCACGGATCGCAGATTTACACATGTGGTTTTCATTACTTCATACCATTGAGAAAAAGTAATATTTGTTTGGGAAAGTATGTTTTTCAAAATTTCCATGGTAATACAACATGTTGATCCTTTTTTATAACACTCTTGTAAGACTACAAATTGTTTGAGGCATTCTACTTTCAGTCAAGTTCAGACTTCAGACAATTTTGCATGTACATTCGAACAACAGCAGCAGTTTACAATTCAGAAGGCAAAAATAAATTTTAAAAGGAGATTAGTGTAGAATGGGTATAGCAGAATGCATCCATCACTATGGAAAATGTGGCATATAGAGAAAATGAACGTGGGACTGAAACAAAGGAAAAGTAGTAAGTTAAAGTGATGTCTTCATTGCAAAGTGGACGACAGATGGGTACTTTTTTTTTTTGAGTAAGCACTTTTTTTTTTTACAGTAGGAGGTTTAAAAATCTTTTCCCAGCCATGAAAAAGAAGGATGCTATACAGCAGACAGAAATATTGAATTGTTATATGTTACATAATCTAACATATTTAATCATAATTATTTCTAGTGGCCAAATTAGTAAAGGTTAGCAAAACATGAATACGTCTTTACAGATGGCTGCTGTGTGTAATTCTGAATCCAAAAAATGATGTTAATTTAATGTTCCACTGTAAGTCCATATTTCAACCAGATTGTGCTATCGTCACTCAGTATAAAACTTAGTGTTTAAATGCTCTCAGTGAAATTAATAGGGGCACTCAGTCTGTGAAGGATCTTTCAGTTTTGGTAGGGGCATGAGTTTATGGCCATAAAAATCAGATCAAGCAATAACAACAATTTAGGGAATGTTGTATACATTTATGGAAACGTAAAGTGTTCTGCAAAAGTCTGGACAATTGAAAAATACACAATTCATGATAAGGCACAACTGCAAAGTAATTTTTATTGCCTATGTAAGAACATGGTGACAAGCAGAGAATTCCATACAAAATAAAAACCATTTTGGAAAAGTAGTTATTGCACCCAAGTTGGGGAGTCCTAACCACATTTTGTAGATTATCTTCCAAATGCCAAAGGCAGTTGTGTCATATTGAAAACCTCACAGTTGCCAAATCCTGGGTAGAGCCCTGCAGTCCTTCCACGCCTCTCGTTTTCACTGAAATCAATAGAATTTTGGCTTGTGTCAGGGCTGCGGGGAAACGTCTGACCGCAAACAGGGGAAAGAAAGGACTTTGAGCGGTGAACTCCTTTGTTCTTTAGCCTTAACTTTAACTTGGGAAGGTTTGTTTTGATTTGAGGAGGGTGCTTGTTTGTGGGAAAGATTGCAATTCCTAGCACAAACACAAATGTGATCTTTTGCAAATGCCCTTGGGCAATACATTTTTTTGCAGTAAGATCTAGCCCAGGAGAGGGTCGGGGCTGGATTCTTGGTTAGATGCATGCAGCTGTGACCGGATCCTTATTGCATGCTTAACTTCATGTCCCGAAATACCTGAATAGTGGATGCAGACTGAAGCATGTACGTAACAGTGTGTGCCTGGCTCTGAAAATCTTGCTGCCTTGACATAATCATGAACCCCTGAAAAGCGTATTAATGTCTTGGAAAAACTGACAATGCTGTGTTACAGACTCATATATGAGTGACAAAGTATTTGTGTAACCCAAATAAACAGTTTTTGTAGGTGTTGGTGTGGGAGGGAAATTGCCTTTTCAAAAGTGGGAGGATGATTTGTAAACATATCAATAGCTTTTTGATCTCCTTTTGTTTAAATGTATTTGCTGTTATGACTTACAAATCCAAATTAGTCTAGCATGTGTAATTGCAAGGTCTCTATTTTTAGTAACCATGTTCGTTTAATAAATGATTCTCTAGAGCTTCTGTTGAACCAGGTAAAGTATGTAAAGTTTTATATTATATGAATGTATTTAAACACAAGCATTTTTACAGAATTAGCTAATAGGTGTTTTCACGGTAGGATGCAGGCTGCCCTTAGTTTGTTGCCCTCTATATGTCAGCTGTTTTAAATGAGCAACTTAGGAAACAGCCTGTGTCGAAAAATTAATACAGTTTTAAAGTACTGCCTTATATTAACTAACAAAATGTGGGTAATTGATTTAGGTTGATAGCATTTCTGTCTTCCCTTTTAATTTAAAAGACTGCTATTATCATGCAAATGAAGGGGTGTGGTGCTTCAAACTGGCTGTGATATGTGCTTCTTTTTTTTTTTTTTTTTCTCATTTGTTGTTGTCAATAGAAAAGATTGATCTCTGGGCTGGTGAACATAATATCTGTCCCAGTCAGAAAAGGAAAGAGGAAATTAGCAGAGCGATTGGTGGAGAATGATATCTGTCAAAAGAAACACTTGGAGAGCACTGAGTTTAGTGATAGGTGACTGCCGGAAAAAAGGGAACTTTGAATTTTGTCAAGGTAAGGAACGGAAAAATATTTGATTTTGTAATGTGCATACCTTTTAGAAGTTCTTTTTAATGACTGTACCTTGCCTTGTAAACTGTAATTAAAAAAGAAATCTTTGCCTTTAGCCTCAAAAGAGTCTGCGTAAATCAGTGAAGGTGGTGTCTTCATTTCAATATCACTGAGAAAGGGTACAGCAGTAACAATAAATTCCCTCAGTGATGAGTTTTCTACAATCTTCCTTAGCTTGAAAATACATGTATGTGAAAGTTTTAACTGTGTTTTTTGTGTTTTTGATGACATACGTGCTCTTTATCTGGCATGTGACTATTACTTGGCTGGGCTGTGAAAATAATAAAGTTCAGTTTCCTGGACTGCGAGTTGGAACAGTATTTGCAATGAGGTTAAGGGACAGTTGTAATCACACTGGCAAAATGGTTGTGTTTGGAATTTAGAGGAACCCTCTGGTAAACTCATTGCGTTGGGAATCTGTGATAAATTTGATTGAGATGATACTGAGAATGGATATTTCTTCTTCTTGTGTGCAAAAGTAAATCTGCTGTCGCAGAACTAAACTTCTAGTTTAGTTTATTTCTTAATTCTAACCTATAACTGTCATTCCTGTCTTTACTGTAACTACATTTTTCTCCTAAAATGGTGTGTCTAGGTGGCAAGAAACTACTGAACTGATTGAGGTGCTTTCCAGCACTCTGCTGACTTTCTTTCTGAGTGTTGGACCATTTTGCCTATGACAAAACTTTGACAGAGCGTGATACCAAAATAAAACAACCAGTGCCTGCGTACTCTAGACTATGCTCTGGTTAGTTTTGAAGGCAACTAAGCCTTGAGCATATCACTTGTCTCCCCACCCGTGATGCCGTGGCCCACGCGTCTCTGTCGGTGGGGTGTGGAAAGGAGATGGAGCACAGCCAAAAGAGCCAGCGCGAGGCTCTGCACATCGTGTCGTGGCAAGCGGCCGGGGCTAAGGTTTTGTGCACCAGTGTGAACGTACTTTAAAAAAAATAAATCCTATTAAAAATGAATTTGCATTCTAATTCGAGTTCCTAGCTCAGTTTAAAACAAGCAAATGCTGCTCTGGGACCTTCCTGTACACAGGCAAAATGAGTAGTCTTAGCAGGGTTTCTTCTTGCATTTTTATTTTGCTAATTTAAAGTGTATAGCTTCTGACTAATTCTCCTTTCTTCTATCTACGGTCTATTTTTCAAAGTGCAAGTGTACCCTGTACAGGTGGTTGTCGGTTGGTTTCTTTTGCCATATGGGTCTTCATAAAGGATTTTAAAAATAAATAAATGTAAAAGTAAAGATTTCATGCCTGAAGCATGCAGTGCTGGCATACTAATGGGAAGCTTATTGTGGTTTATTGCTGTCAGAGCACGTGCAAGATAATGGAAATTTCCTACAACTTAGGAGAAATGCATGTTTTCTAATACTATTCATTTTTATAGAAAGAGGGAATGAATATGACTAAAATTCACTTCATCTCTATAAAGTCCAAATGATCTGGTTGTACTACTGCAACATTCATAAACGGGAGGGAACAGCATGTTGTCGGTCTTGTTAACCATCGGGCAGGAGAGGCTGCCTGTATCACCTGGGTGCAGGCTCATCTCTACCACTGTAAAGTTGCTGTGTATTAAATGATTCCCTTTCCTGTGTATTTCTATCAGTGTAGCCTTACAGCGAAACAAAGGCATCCTATCTATAACACACCTCACAGAGTTAATGATATTGAGTTTTCGCCTTGGTGGTGAAGATAATCCAGAACTGCTTTGTAGCTCTTTATAAGAAAAGAGTGATCAGTGGTGGTTAGCAATTTGTTAGATCTTTGGGCATTCCCATTTTGATATTTACTGGCAATGAGGTGACTGGGTAAGGTACTTACATCTGGATGTATGTGTTTAGCACATGTTCAAAATTATAGTCTTAAAGGACTTCTTAAGAAGCTCCCTATTGAAATTTGGATGACTGATTAGAGATGAGGCCAACACTCTTAGAGCTTAACTTAATATGGACTTTGTGGTGCCCAAGAAGATTTGACTTGCTGTTGGAAACCTAAATGGAATGAAAGGCAAATTAAAAGGTGTTTGAGTCTATTGCCTCCTTGAAGCAACAGCCTCTTGCAGCATTAGACTACGTGGGCTGACATGATCCCTTTCAAGCATCCTTATCTGTTTTGCTATTGCAAAGTCTACTTCTTGGTTTCCCTTTTTATCCTCAAAACAACATAAAATTGTTAGCTTACCTATGTATCTTAAAGGGCACAATGGAAATAATAACCCCCCCTTCTCACACAGAACAGATGCAAAAGAGGACGAGTGCATTATAGACAGCGAATTGTCATTACACGGCTCACAATCAGGTTTTCATCTGTTCATGTGGTGCACACCTGTGGCTTGCTGGCGTTGCTCTTGATTGGAGTGTGAGAGGTCTTAATGAAAAACAAATCCGGGATGACAAGAAGAGACTCCACGGCACACACGGGTTACTTCACACGTCATAAGAAAGTGAAATTCGAAATATGCTGGTTTGGAGAGAATGCCTGGTGATGAGGGAGCGTGCCTGGGTGACTCTGCAAAGGGAACCGGGGCCCTGCCCGTTGCTGCCTTGAAAAGAAGGCGTTTTTCTCTGTAGGTCAGGTTGATTTGGACCAGTCGAGAGTGGTGGCTGATTTCTCCAGCTTGCTTTCTGAGCCAGTAAGAGTATCCTGGGCAGGAATCCAGCTTTTGAAGTACAAAGAAAAATAACCCGTAATCTATATAAAACGCTGGCGGATGGGGAACGGAGGAAATTTACAGAGAATAACTGAGTTTGAGAACAACTGTGTTAAAAGTAGAATGTGAGGGGAGTGTGTGGATGACATTTGTATTTATTCTAATTTGAAAACACGATCTTTGAAACCTTCGAGCTGAGCAGAGGACGAGAACTCATGATATGATACATTTATTAGTAAGCTGAAACCAAGCACTCCAGCTGAAGCTGAAGTTCTTCTTTTCAAAGTGATTTTTTTTCCCCCGAGTTTGCAGAAGTTTGGGTTGTCTCTCTCCTCCCCCACCTCCCATCTCTCGGTAATGTACTGTGGCTCTGATAACGTTAATGGGCTTTGCCCCACATGGCGCGGCAAGTGTATTGTACCACTGCTCACTGATCGCAGGTCAGTGTGATGCGTGAAATCAATTTATTTGAATCTCTTTGCCTGTATAGGAATTTGGCGGTGTGCCAGTTGTTTTCATTTAATGTTCTTTGTGTTGAACACAGACAAGCAGGCATGCTTTTGTACTCCTCTTTCTTCTGGGCTCTTCTCTTTTCAGCCAATATTCTATTCTGTGGATTTTTCAGAAAGAAGTAGGAATGTGTTACCTTTTTTAAAAATAATTTTTGTTTAAATAGCCTTTAAAGAGTGTAGAAACTAGGTCAGTCATAGAGCAGCCTGCGTAGGGTTTTAACCACGTATGGGTAGTAACACCTGCCTTTTCCCATTTCTTAAATTTGGGAAAAAAGAGAAAACACTGGTCTATTTTTCTAATGCCTGGTTTTATGATTTATGTCCTCTTGTAAGACAAAGACTCTTCAATAATACTTAAATCAGAATAATATTATTTATGAATAAGTGAACGTCTGGCAGTTCGTTGGACGGATTGGAAGTACTTTTCAGGATCTTTTTCATTTTGAGTGATGACCTTAAAGTAAGCATTAATTTGGGAATCCCTTGCTTCATCTTTCTGTCTGTTCCTCCACTCCCCCAGATATTTAATATTTTGAATGGCTGGCTATAGAACAGCTACTGGAAAGTACCCATTTCTTTCCCTTTTTCCTCCTTTTTATGAGAAGGCAGCAAGGCGTATGGAACAAAGCGAGTAATTTAGCCCTTCTTAAATTAAAAAGGGGGGGGGTGTGAAGGAATAGGCAGTGGCAGATATTTCCAGGAGGATTTGGTTTAGAGCCGGGTGTCGGGAGAGGCGGAGAGCGGGAGCAGAGGACTCTGTTGATGCTCCGGGCGGTTGGTGCGGAAGTTGATATGCAGAACCGCGGAGCCGCGGCGCAGGGGTCAGACTCGTACACATCAGCCCCGTTTCCTTGTTTAATTACCTGAAGAGCAAAACATCCAGGCTGGGAGTGTGTGAAAACCCAGTATCTCGAACAGCAGTTTGCTGCTCTGACATCCTGCGAGGCCAGCCCCGTCTGTCCGCAAACGTCAGGGCTGGTTCCTGACAGCGGGCTATCTCTGCCGGGCCTGGGTTCCTTCCATTCAGGAGGCATTGTGTGGAAGAGGGTTTGGTCAGGAATTTGAGGTTCCTGCCGGTTCTTCCAGCCCGGACAACCCTGTGACAGATAGGCCTGATTTTTTTTCTTTTAAAGAATAATAATAATAAAAAAAAAATTGGCCCTTTTTAGTCTTTCCCTTGTAATTCTGGCATTGCTATAATACCGACTGAGACAAAACAGGTTAACCCTTTAGCTTCTGAATCCACGGCTTTTTTCCTTTTACTTATTGTTCTTTCTCCCCTTGCTCAACCTCTTCTATTTTCGGAGATAAAATCTTCTGAGGAGCAAATTCTTTCAGGTGGAATGTGTGCTATGCAGCAAATAAACTTATGAAAATGTTAAATTTTTTTGTAGTAGTCATCAACATAATCATAGTTCTTCGCATTTTAAGTTTTTCATTTTCAGCATGCTTGGCAACATTATTTTTATTCATCCCGTGGATTCAAACCAAGCCAGTGTTTGTTCTGGCATGGCCTGTTAAAACAGTGGTGGCAGCTATCAACGCTTCCATTCTCTTTATTCATGTGATTTTCTTAGGTGTCCAGCCTGGTGTTCAATTGTAAAATATTGGGGTAGGGTCAGTTATAGTCCTTGCTCCTTGTAGCTGCTGTTTACTGAGGTCACTCAACAGGCTGAAGGTGTGGGTGCACGAGGCAGGGTTCTCTGCACTGCTCAGGTTTGGGCTCGTCGGTGGAAAGTGTTCATCAGGATGTAAAACTCAAGGTTACAGC